GGAATTGTGAAAAACCGATCAATTGCTCAACGTTCATTTCGAACACACACACACACACACACACGAGATTCTATGTAGTGAGACAACATATGGCCGGTCAGTCACTGCGGCGGATAAAACCGCTTCGATAAAACACGAATGACTCGAATATCGAATAGGGGAAACGACGGCTAGTTTGCGACTAATCGTTAATAAAGTGAGTTNGTTTAGCTTTCTTAAATAAACTGCAGTGGACAATCAATGCTAACTCTTGAGCCTGTGGGGTAGATTGAGCACTTTGCTAGAGTAGGACAATAGCAACTGCAATCATGAACTTTCTTGGCTCAATGAATTTGTGCGTGAAGTCATACTGTGAACGGTTCTACATCGTACACGTGTTCGTGCTTTACTGAACCCAACTGATTAACCGAAGCTCTCTCTCTCACACACACACACAAACATGCACTTTGATGCGTGATTTTCGAAGACTCTACTCTACAGTAGTGCCTCAAATGAAAACTTTGTCTATGTTCTTTCGCGTCCTAACACGGTCATCGTGTACCTTTTCCCAAAAATTCCTCCGTTGCCTTGGCAGTATTCGGCCCTCAGGCAAATCGTGGAGTGTTTTTCTTTTTTATAGAGATTATTGTACTAAGATTTGTTTGGCACACAGTCTGGCCTCAGACGGTCAGCTTCATTCTTGGTTCCACCCGCCAAAGAGATCACATTGAACTTACGAACCCTAATGCAATTAGGACAGCAAGCATGTTTAGATAGAGATAGAGAGAGATGAACCCATGGCTTTGCACTGGATCCCGGTAGATAGTTGATCATGAGTAGCGAGACTGTTATCAGGACGAGACTGTCTTGACGTGGTGTGATGATGGCTTTTGCATCTTCATAACCCCGTGAGCTTTACAGGACGGCTTCTCTTAGCCACAGATTCAACCTGGGCTAAAAAAACAGTGAATGAAAGCCAGATAGAGCCTAGTCGTTTCCCAAGGTCAAATGTAAAGCCAGCAATAAGTATTTCTCTGCAATATCCGCCTTCATCCTGGAAGGTCACTGGCGAATGAACACAGCGAGAACTCATTTACCAATCGAAAAACCCACTAGATGGATGTAGGAGAAGTCCTCGCATTTCATTGATTAGCTGCCTGTCCCTCTACAGCTGAACTTCCCCAGTCCATTTGCTGTTGCCCCATTCAAGTTTCGCCTGCTTCATTGGGTTCAGGACGGAATCCGAACAACGGACCGAGAATCAACGCACCAGCGAACAAAATGTAAATTCAAAACTCCGACGGAATGCGTAAACAGTTGGTAGAAGCCCCACGCAGGTTCGTCGATCAAGTTCGGCGTTGGACCTACGCCCCGTTACCTTATGAGTCAAACTTTTGGACCACAGGCTTCTGTTATGGACCAACGACTCAGGAGTCGTTGAACTGTTTGCCAATTGACGTTACTCGTTATAGTGTTCTTTGCACCTTCGAAGTGAAAAGTGTTGTTGCAGGATTGGCAGGAACCCGTTCCTGTACCTTCGTTGGGAACTGACACTCTGTAAGCAGTCGAAAGTTTTGTCTACCTTGGGAGTTGCATAACGGCTGGCGGAGGTGTGGGCAAGGAGATCTCTCAACGCGTGATCAAAGCTGGACTAGCATTTCCTAATCTACGGCATATCCCTTTCACTGAAAGGACGTGTGTATTGCGCAAAGGTACACACCGTGTTGCTCTATGGCTGCGAGACCTGTCCTCTCCGAGCAGATCATGTCCAACGACTATCCGTATTCAACAACCGTTATCTGCGCAACATCGCCCGCGTGTGATGGGAGCACCGTGTGAACAACGATGAAGTTAGACGACGTGTATTAGGATCAGATAGTCTTCTATTGGGTAAAAGAATTTCACTGCATCGTTTTAGGTGGCTAAGGCACGTCCTACGAATGTCTGAACAACGTCTGCCACACCATGCACTATTCGCAAACATCGGTCCCGGCTGGAAGAAACAACGAGGTGGGCAGGCTATGCCGTGGCGCAGAGGGTTAAAGAGATTGTGCTCGGATCTGGCTTCCGTTAGGGCTTCCCGGTTGGGGCCCCAAATATTCAAATTGTGTTTGGCTGGATACACTGTGGGATATGACGCGGTTCCAAAGATAAACAAAAAACAGGAAAAAACTCGAAATGGAGTGCAGTGAACAAGTAAAAAATTTATTCTCCCATTTCAACTGTTTTTCTTTTATCCGCTTCTGTTCCTATATTTTGCGTTAAACCCACGGTAATTTTGGTGAATGAATTAATTTTAAATTTACAAGGATGATATATTGTTCAAGTTTTAGCATTGTTGTATATGACTTAATATTTTTTTAAATCCATTATAACGATGAAGACAATTTTTCAATGCAATGTAAGCCTGGTTAGTGGCACAAGTCACTACAACACAGCACATACACAAAAACACACAAATAAACTTACAAGATTAATTGCAATTATTTTATGATAATACTTTCTATGGATTAGATGCGTTTTCCGGACAACGGTGAGGTTTCTGGGAAATTTCACTTGTCTATTCAAATGCTATCTAATATAAATATTATTATTATTATTATTATTATTATTATTATTATTATTATTATTATTATTATCGAATATCGGCCTTGAGGTCCAGTTTGTTGAGATCGGGGACGCCTCGCACCCACGGAATGTTGTCACGCACGGCATCAATCACATCCGGATGTTTCGATGAAACAAAATAAAAATGGAAGTACAGATTGTCAACAACAAACAATCCGTACCCGCATGGCCCTTGGCGTAGTGGGACGATCGGGCAGTGTGGACAGGGTGACCACCTCGCTCCATCGACTACGACCGTCCGCATTTGCGGCAGCCAATCGAAATCGGTAACGCGTGTTCCGGCGCAAATTGCCCACACAATGCTCTGTTCCCGTGCCGTCAAACACGGTCACAAATCCGTGTCCCATCGCTTCGTCTTCCATTTCCAGCGTATAGCTGATAGTCGGACCGTTGGGTGTCGGTTGTTGTTGTTGTTGCTGCTGCTGTTGGTTTGCATTGTTGCTACCGCTATTGCTACTGTACCACGCCAAGGTGAGCGAATGGACTCCGCTGTTTACAAGATGCGGAGTTCGCGGAGTGGGAGGTGGACTACCAGAGGTTGATGCAGTCACAATCGAACTCCATGGGCTGAGTGAAGAGAAAGAGACGGACAGGAAGCAAAGAAGTACGGATCAGATTAACAATAACTGATACACAAACTCCACTTCCGTGTTACTTTATCGTTGAAAAAACCTGGAAGCAATCAGTCCACGAGAATACCAGTCAGATGTACGGCACAGCAATGCCTGTGAAAAAGCGTTCCAAGTGGTAGCGTATTTTGAGATTCAGGATTTGACTCTATTTATCAGGTTTATCACTCGAAGTCCCACCGCAGGTTCTGGTGATTAGAGGGTCATTTACTGTTTACTACTGAATGTTGTGTGATAAAAAAAGAGATCATCAGTTTAAACTCATCATGGACAGTGCGATACGCGAAAACCCGCAAAAGGGTGAGTGTGGTGGAAGATAAAAGGGTCAATCACTACCTTCATGTGACAGAGGTGTTTTCCCACCAATGAAAAGCCACCAACCGGTTGATCCGTGAACCACTGGGTTCCCCAGACCCCCCCCTCCAACCTCCAACCTCCAACTAAGAAGAGGCGAACGAAAAACATCTTCCTGGTTGTGGCAGTGGATGTGACATATATTGGACACCTTGAACACTTGACCTCATCTAAAAGCCCTATAGCCCGGTGAACTGGACACTGATTCCCACTGAACTGTTATTTTTACTCACTGGCACGCTTGCAAGTCAGACTTTGGCTAGCCGAAAGCTTTGGTTCTGAATTGGCCTGGGTAACCTGACAGTATTGTGCCCATTTGTAAATCATAGGCCTTTTACTTCGTACGGTGATTCGGTTGGCACACAGTTTGCACTCCAACACGTGTGACATCATATACCTATATATTGTATGTCAAAACCTGATTCAACTCACGTTGTTTTCATTCTTCCTTTAAATAAGGAGGAAAACAAAAAGAATTCAGTTCCGTCCATGTTTTGAATTCCATATCGATGACCCTGTCTCTTCGACTGGGGAATTCTTTATTTGGGTTACGTATTTCTAATCACTGTGGTAAAACAATCGTTACTAAAAAAAATACAGACAGACAGACCGTGCTCGCCAAACACAGATAGATCCAAATGCGGTTAAAATGATGATGTAACGAGTGTACACGAGCGCGCGCGCGAGAGAGAAAGACAGAGTGAGAGATTTGCAATCATAGAGAGATTAGCCACTCGGGGAAATGTGATCGTCTCGCATGCGTACACCATTTCCTCGACGCGAATTCGGTCAACTACATACATAGAACCGGGATTGGTGTTTCTCGGTCGTCTTTAAAGTTCATCGGCATAGCTATTGATCGATCGATCGATCAAGAAGCGATAAACAACGATTTACAGCGGACTTATGATTACCATCGATTGAACAGGCCTATAAATACTACCAATTGTCGAACATATTTGTTTCGCTTATTTTTTGGGTCAAATTATCTCCCATGAGTGGTGTCACAGTTAATCAAATGTAACAATCAAATGTCATTCTACACATCGGAATCGGGGAGAGCAAAGGAGCGGAAACAAGCAAAGAAGTAATACAAAATAGGAAACTGGACCGATACGAGATTTTTTTAGCTTGACCGGCTGATTGTTTGTTCAGCCAGAGGCCTTTATTCGGTGATGGTCAGATAGCAGCCTGGAATTCTCACAATGATGAGGTCATTTTCACATGAATGGACTATTACGAAACGAAAACGAACGGTACGACAGGTTCTGAGATCGGGGAGGGACTTCTTACCTTGTACCGTAGCTATTCTCAGCCATGACGCGTAACACGTATTCCGTGGATGGAGTGAGTTGGGTCAGTTTGCACGTTTTTGCAAGTCCGTGAAATCCTTCCACAAAATGCGGTACCGCCTGAGTGAGATGGGAGTGGCACACAGTGTAAAAGTTGGTGTGTGTGTGAGAGAGAGGGAGATAAAGGCGGACGACGTACAATGATCGAAGACAGACGGCCCGAATACACACACACACACACACACACACACACCACACACACAAGTGACCAAGAAAACCGCACAAGTGCCGAAGTACAAACGTGATCAGTGAATGCCCAAGACGGGTTAGTCCGTGTGAAAAGTTCTCCAGCAGAGAACGACAACACCTGATGATGAGTTTATTACAGAGGCGAGATATGTCAACAGCACAGAGGTGGGTGGAAGTGAAGGCACCATGCACGTTATATACACAAACACGAGTAAGCGTATTTGCACAATCACGTTGACAGACATGCATTGAACAAA